CGTGGAATTTATTTTTGCAGAGCCGGACACTATCCCGGTGTTCACGATCTTCTATAAATTATTCGGAGGAGGAACCCGCCTTGCAATGCCGAAGATAATATGTGCGCCGGACTCGTCGTCATTGAAGCCTGGTTCAGGGGCTACTGAGGGAGTTCCGGACTAGGGGGTGTCCGGATAGCCGAACTATCATCATCGGCCGGACTCCAAGACTATGAAGATACAAGATTGAAGACTTCGTCCCGTGTCCGGATGGGACTTTCCTTGGCATGGAAGGCAAGCTTGGCGATACGGATATGTAGATTTCCTACCTTTGTAACCGACTCTGTGTAACCCTAGCCCTCTCCGGTGTCTATATAAACCGGATGGCCTTAGTCCATAGGACGAACAACGATCATACCATAGGCTAGCTTCTAGGGTTTAGCCTCCTTGATCTCGTGGTAGATCCACTCTTGTAACACACATCATCAATATTAATCAAGCAGGACGTAGGGTTTTACCTCCATCAAGAGGGCCCGAACCTGGGTAAAACATCGTGTCCCTCGTCTCCTGTTACCATCCGCCTAGACGCACAGTTCGAGACCCCCTACCCGAGATCCGCCGGTTTTGACACCGACAACCCCCTTTTATAGGTGAGGAAAAATCCAACCGTTATCCTCACAGCCCGCACAGAGCGGTACTACCGCTCCAAGGAGCGGTACTACTGCTAGGGCGGTAGTAGCCCTTTGAAAAACAACAACAAGGAGGCAAAAGGCCAGTAGAACTGCTAGAGCGGTACTACGCTCACCCTCACAGTACTACCGCTAGGGATAGCGGTACTACCGCAAAGGGTAGCGGTACTACTGCTTGCGAGCGGTACTAAAAAAATACATCCGGGCCTACCACCGCAGGACTTGGGACGAGTTTTTGGTACGGAGCAGTACTACCGCTATAGGAGCCGTGGTAATACCGCTCTGGAGCGGTAGTAAAAAATTACATCCGCTCCAATTCGCGGTAGTATCGCTGCAGCCGTTTCAGAACACCAAAACTGCCACAACTTCTGCAAACGAACTCCGAATTCAACGAAACCAAGTTTGTTGGAAAGCTAGCAACAAGGCCTAACACAATTTTGATAGAAACAACAATAAGAAGAAAATTAGAAAAGTCCCAAAAGAAAATGGTGAGAACCCTTCCTCGAATAGGACCGGTAAAACCTCTAACACCGAAAACGCAATAGAAGAAGCATGTGAACTCCATTTTCGATGAACTCGAGCTTGTTAAGAAGATGACCACAAGATCTAAAACCTCAAAAGAAAATACAAATAAGAATCAAGAAAGATGATGCAAGGATGCAATGGTTTGAGCTCTCGACGAACGATACGATCAAGCTACTCACTTGAGAGCCCCCCTTGATAGTACGCCTATCGATCCTAAAACCCGATCTCCAAACTATTACCATGAGACCGGTAAAATATAAAACCTATCAAGGGCAAACCTTTGCCTTGCACGAAGTCCACTTGAGCTAGATGATGATGATGATCTTGACTCCCTCAAGTTGGACCACCTTTCTTGATTGTGCTCACTCGACGAAGACTAGTTGATTGCCCCCACATACTCCACTATGGGTGAGCCACTCTTTGGCACATCTTCAAAAGTCGATTGACACAAAAATGGATGACAGGCCAAGCACTTGATCTCTTCGTGATGCTCCACTTGAACTTGCACACGACAATCTTGATGACGATCACCACTTGATGTCATCCTCTCCATGGGTTGAGTGATATCTTCCTCTTGACGCAAGCCCATGAACACGTACCTAACCCCACATAGAACTCTCATATAGACCATGGGTTAGTACACAAATCACAATGGACAATGCTTACCATACCATGGGATCACTTGATCCCTCCCGGTACATCTTATACGCTTTTTGAGTTGATCAACTTGATTCACTCTTGACTTAGTCTTGATCAACCTTGATCTTTCAAACTCTCTTCATTTGGATGATGTCTTGAAGGTAAACATGAATGATCACACAATCTTATTCTTCAAGACATGCTTGCAATAAGCTCAACACTCACATAACCAATCTTTGGATAATTCCTTAAAAGCACCTTAGTCAACTCGTAAACTCCTTGAAACCAACACATGGACTTCAAGAAGAGCCTATGGACAAATCCTTCAAATATAACTCAATGCAACCATTAGTCCATAGAGACTGTCATCAATTACCAAAACCACGCATGGGGGCACCGAATGTCCTTTCACAATCCCCGAAGTTGTGTTTTGGGGTTCGTCAGGTATGTCCCTCGCACTTGGAGACTCAAAAACACCAGTTCAGCACAAAAGACTCTATAGATGGTGATACTCAGCATCTGATCCCGCAGAATAGGGCAATCCCCTGAGTCATGTGTAGACTTAAGACATGTATCACAAAGCTCGGTCACACACTCAGCAATAAAATGACCTCTCTCTCCACAACGGTAACACAACATCTTCTCCTTTTTACGCGCCCACTTGGAGGCTCTATCCATGCCAGTCTTGTCAACAACCCCGACAACCCCCGTCACTAAGGGCTCCGTCAGTGGCATGTCAGCGGAAGCTAGGGCTGTCACCACTTCCATAGCCTGCCCGGATAGCTCCCTCCTGACCGGAAGCATCGACCTCCGAGGATGCCGTCGGTTCCACCACAGCAGACGGAGGAGGCTGGCGGTAACGGTTCCTACCACCACGACCATCGCGACCCCCCATGAAGACATCGGTAGCCGCCTCGCTACCGATGATCAAGGCAAGACGCCCCCTCGACAAAACCTCCCGGAGGGCCGTAGAAAGGTCGTTTAGCTGACCCATCACTCTGCCATGCGTAGCCATGCCCGCCACCGTAGACGATGAGCCACGATGTTGTCCGTCCCCATAAGCATTATATCCATCATCACCCCACTTTCCTCGAGGTGGACCATTACCGCCGCGATAAGCCGGCGCCCGGGCTGCATCCGCACCTCCCTCGCCCTCCACATGTTGCGCTGACTGCGCTGGCACAACACAGTTCTGAGTCGGCCGAGTGATGTAATGCGACAGAGGCGCGACATGTGGCTGCTGACCCGGCACCGAAGCCTGCATGCGAGGTACACCCATGGCAGCAGTAGGCGCCGGCGGTCTTGGCGGAGTAGCACCGCGCCCCACAGCAGCAGGCAACGTAGCAGCCGGCGCCGGTGGCCTAAGTCCCAGACCGCCGCGCCCAGCGGCCGGCACCACCCCCGCAGCCGACGGAGGTCGCGGCCCTTGGGGAGTGCCACGTCCAGTGGCCAACGCGGGTCTCGGCCCCGGCGGCGCGCCACGACCTGCCGACAGCATAGGCCTCTGCCCCAGTGGTCTTCCGCCACCGCGGCCAGCCGACGCCACCCCGGCGCCCACCGGAATCTTCGGACCAGACGCAGCAGCACCACCACGTCCCGTCATCGGAGGAGGGATTCGAAGGGCCCGCCCTGGACCATACTTGGCAAACTCCGAAGCTCCCCCGCGGCGTCGAACCCTAGGATGCAGCGACGGTGGCAGCTCAAGGCAATACGCAATACGATCGGTCGATCGCATGCACGGGCCATTGGCATCGGCATACATAGAGGCCGGGTAAGCCTGGGCTTCATACCCAGCTAACCCCGGCCCAGTTTGATTTGCCAGATTATGGGCCTCATACCCATCATCAATCCGGCCCAGAGCCACACCGCTCCATTCGAGCCCACCCGAGCCCAACAGAGAATTCAAACGATGAATCCTAGCGGTACGGATCTCGGCCGATCCGCCGGCCATCGGCGCCACCGCCGCCGCCGCCGCTGACTTCAATTTTTTCTTCCTCTGGACTAATTTCCATGCCCCGGCCTCGAAATAATTAGACAAAGAAGGTTTAGGAAGACATACCTTTGGAAGAGGTCCTCGCCATGGCCGGATCGCCGTCGCCAACGTACGATGATGCACAACCCGGCGGATCACCTCAACGGCGTGGTCCTCAAGTCCCTGTCGGGCAGGATCATCCAGGGGAATCGCCAAGTCGACGAGCCTCGCCACATCCTGCTCAGAGTAACCCACTCTAAACGCCTCGCAGATTGCATCGGACAGCGTCGGCGAATTCGTCGGTGACTCATCGTCGTCAGAGTCCTCGTCCTCGTCTTCCGCATCGCCGACATCATCGCATAACGCCCAGAAGCGGCCTCCTACCCGCCGATCACCGGTGGAAGAGGTCACCCCCGTCGTCGCCTGCGGTGTCGCCCATGTCGCCCGCGTCACTGGTGGAAAGGAAACAATTGGGCACCTACAATATAATTTCCTTATGCAGAATCCTAACACAAACAAGTGGAATAGCTGAGAGCTCCACCATTTTTAAGCACTGAACCATTAAACCAAACATAGTAAGTATTCTATATATTTACATGGCTGTACCAGTTCAGTGCATGTTGCCTTAATGTTCAACTAAGTAAATACAAGACCACATATTAACAAGTACAGTAGCAAATAGAAGGTAAACAATAGCAAGATATAACGACTTTATCTCATGGCCAAAAGATGCTTAAGTAAAAAATTCTGACATCTATAAACAACTATACTTGCTCATTGATAAATGCAAGTGGATTTGTATGAAACCCAATGGTGATCCATAATGCTCAATAACCATACTTGTTCAGTTCTTAATACAAGTCAGTCTAGTGAAGTGCTTGCTAAGTGCTAAAGTACCCAATGTTGTTTTTGTACACCCGAGATTAGATGCTCTCTATTTCTCAGAATGAAGATTCAAAGAACAAGACTATCTCTCCCTAATAATAAAGCACGGATTGACTCTCCGGGTTCACCGTCATGGCTTTTTTTGCATAAAGGTCCCTATGGTCTTTACAAATTAAACCCGGCGTCCCTGTTTTATCTGGAAAAACGTTTTGTCTTTAAAAAAACCCTGTTTAGCACGCCTAAGCCTCAGCCCGCCGCTGTCGCCCACGCAAAGTTGCTCCTCCGCTCGCTTCCTCCCTGCCGGCGACGACATGATGTCTTCCGAGCCCGAGAAAGCGCCGCCCGCCCCCGAAGCGGGCGTCCCCGCAGCCACCATCAGCAATAAGCAACGGAAGAGGGACGTCAGGAAGGCCGAGAAGGCGGCCAAGTACGCGCAGGCGCAACAGAAGCCCGCCGCCAAGGACCCCTCGCCGGAGCATGAGAAGAAGAAGCAGCAGTCCACCGCTGAGGACGATCCCTCGGCGGCCAACTATGGCGACATCCTCCCCGGAGAGATCCTCCCCGTGGCAGTCCTCGATGAACCATGGATGGAGATCGGCCGCCTCGACAAGGCCGCCGTCGGCCGCTCCGTGATGGTCCGCGCGACGGTGCAGGCGGTCTACCGTGGGTCCAAGACCAAGAATGTGGCCTTCCTGGAGCGGCGGCAAGGGAGGAGCACCGTGCAAAGCGTGTTCGCCAGCAGCGCCCAGATGGAACTCTTCGCCTTGTCCCTCCCCAAGGAGTCGATCGTCGTCGTGGAGGGTGCCGTCGCCCTCCTCGGCAAGCCCCTCAGATACACCACAATGCGAGAGGTTTCTTTCTGCCGTAGCTGATCTATGTCTGTCTGTTATTTTCTGATCCCCATTTGATGGCTGGCAGATGGAGATTCGGGTGAGGAAGCTCTACTACATCAACAGGGTCGACCCAAGGCTACCGATCAGCGTGGAGGATGCCGGCTGGAGTGTGGAGGAGTTTGCAAAAGCTGAAGCAGTATGTCAACCGCCTGTACAATCTGCATTTGCTTGCCTCCTCTTTGAATGCATGAAGGAGGAGGACACAGTTTTGTTGTTGCTCCAATTCTCTAATGATGATGATATCTGGGTTCAGCTAATGGGATCTTGTTGTTTTGCAGAAGGGGGTGCCACTTCCCTGCGTTGGTCAGGAAACACACTTAGACTATCGAGTTGTTGACCCGGGAACACCGGTAGGTCAAGCAATTTTCCGTATACAACATCAAGTTGAAAACGTCGGTATTTGTTCTTGCTTTTAGGACTCCTGCTATCAGTGATATATTCATGAATTGAGTTTGGAGAACTAAACATACCATGTTATGTAGTAATATGTTGTGTAGCTTAGATAAGATATTCTACTTCGACATTGAATTAAACGCATCTGATCTGGTGACCCCTTTGAGTCGTTGGGCCAAAGCGTGGCATTGGCTGGGCTGCTGTGTGGGGATTTCAGTGATGAGGTCTGCTTCGGTACACCCTCTCTTAACGTATAAGGGCATTCTGGGCATACGGTGCTTAACGTATCCCGCGCCATATGCGGCGTGCCCATACGGGTAGAGCCGAGCGGACGGCTCGAGCCGATACGGCCGGCTCGCATGTACCCTCTCCCCGTCGCGCGAAAAAAATAATACCCACGACCTGCATTGATCACGCGGCCCAATCCAATGTCGCCCCGCCCCGCCGATCGCCGCCCTTACCCGCCGATCACCGCATTTTCCCGCCGATCTAGCCGTGATCACGCTGCCAATTCCAACGTCTACCCGTCCGGCCGATCGCCGCCTTTCCCCACCGATCGCCGACCATTCTCCCCGTCTTCACCCGGGATCTGGCCGGCGTGGACGTTGTTGGAGTCGCCCGCCGTACGTGATGTCGCCTCCGTGCAGGTCTTCGTGGTGACCTGACCTACGTGGAAGCCGTCGCCGCCCGCAACTCCGTGATCAGCCTCTCCGGGAACGTCCTCGCCGTCCGCAGCCACGCCAGGCCGGCCGAAGTGCACGAGCATGCCATGTAAGCCGTCTAGTTTGTTAAAAAAATTGTATCTATAAATAAAAATCACTTGTTAAATAAGAAGTTCTCATCTGTATGATCGTAGTATATTTATTTTGATTTAAAATTGATAGATCATTTTTTATTATAATATTGCAGTGTTGGTTGTGAGATCATTCAATGGATAAAGAAACTGGATTTATGGATCTGTTTTTGGACACGAGTGAGTGGGATGGTAGCGATAGTGTTGATCGTACTAATGGTGATGATAGTAAAAATGATGATGACAGCAGCGACAATGAATCCTGGTCGTCGTACGATAATTTACCTGAGGAGGATTTTCAAAAGAATGAGGAGGGTGCTTGTAGTGAGAACGTAAGTAACATGTACATTCTTTTCATCGGATGAAGAACCATATGGTACTTACATGTGTATATGATTTTTTTTATGTGCAGGAGGATATTGACGTCCAGAACGAGGCAAATCATGGTGTTGAATCTTTCGCGGATAACATAAGCCAGGTTCGGTCCAAAATTTAAGATGTCATTGAATAATAAAAACTTGTTAATGACAACTTACACTTGCTTATGTGGAATATTATAGGCTAACTTTGATGGTTGGAGTGGTGATGATGGATATGAGCATGAGGATGGAGCGAATATGGACATTAAGGAAGCTAAAATCCAGCAACGTGCGCTGAAGACACAGTTGAAGGTTATGGGTATGACATTTGCATCACGATGGGAGGCCTACATGTTCTTTAATAACTACGCCAAAGATTCAGTATCAGAAAAGATAAGGTGAAACGAGGAAAAGGACTTTCAACCACTGTTCGGTATAGGCGATACGTTTGCTCGAGGGCAGGAAAACGTCTCAGTAAATTTTTAAACCCGGAGGGCCGTACCCGCAGGCTAAGACCCGAGGCTCATTGCGAGTGTGGCGCACATTTAGTTGTGAAGTTGGACAAAGGACGTGGAGTTTGGTTCGTGGCAGCTTTTATGGATGATCACAACCATTTGTTGGCTAGACCAGATGAGGTGGTATTTCTGCGGTCCCATTAAGTGATGGGAGATCACCAGATAGCTGAGATCTTGGCAATGGAAGGAGCTGGGATCAGAAAGCATATCATCGTCGACAACTTCATTAGCAGGTATGGCTCGTATGATAAGTGTGGGTTTCCGAGACGAGACGTGTACAACCTATGTTGCCGAGAAAAAATGAAGTTGATTGCGAAGGGTGATGCTAACACAACAATCGGTATTATGAGGAGCAGAAAGGAGAAGGATCCAGACTTTTTCTTTGAGTATGTGCTCGATAAGGAGGGCCGTCTGAAGAGCATGTTCTGGTGCGATGCACAGTCGCGGCGGGACTATCAGTTGTATGGAGATGTGACTGTGTTCGACAACACGTATAAGATGAACAGATATGGTATGCCGTTCATCTCCTTTGTTGGTGTAAATAACCACCGTTGCACCATAATTTTTGGTTGTGCCATTATGTCCGACGAGACCAAAGCGACGTACGTGTGGCTGCTCTAGACATTCCTGAAGGCCAATTGTCAGAAAAAGCCAAGGTCAATCATCACAGATGGAGATGCTGCAATGATACGAGCTATTCGGTTGGTTTTGGTTGATGTGTTGCACCGTCTCTGCTCATGGCACGTGGAAAAAAACATGTGGAAGCACCTTAATTACAAATCGCTAAATGAGTTCAGGTCACTCTTGTACTACTCCACCTCTCCAGCTAACTTTGAGGCGAGATGGCACGCTTTCGTCCGTAAATGGAAGACTGATAAAACAGAAGAGTGGCTGAATAGGATGTACAAGAAGAGGAGTCTGTGGGCAGCATCATATCTGTCAGATGGTTTTTTTCTGGGTATGCGCAATAATCAGAGGAGTGAAAGCCTTAACTCTTGTCTTCACCTTCACCTGGACGGCGGTATGACTATTGTTGACCTAGTTGTGCATTATGAGAATTGCATAGTTCGACTACGTGAGAACGAGGCGCATGATGACTGTGTTTCAAATCAGTCTTTGCCACCATCAGTCACAGAATATAAGGATATTGAGAAGCATGCTGCCGAAGTATTCACTCATTCCAATTTTTATATTCTTCAACAAGATCTGAAGAAGATGGGAGAGATTGAGATTTTTGAGATGCTAGTGGGAGTTGACTGCCACACCTTCATCGTGACATGGAGAAATAACCGTAAATTTCAGTTCAACGTGAATTATCGAGCTGAAAACTCTGAGAATACGATAGACTGCAGTTGTGGACGAATGCTTCGGAAAGGATTGCCTTGCAAACACATTCTGTATGTGTTGGTTCATCTGAAAATATCTAAAATACCTAAGTGTTGCATCCTTAAGAGGATGTCGAAAGTTGCAATAGGTGGATTGCCTGCACAGCGGAAGAGTGACATGTTTGGCTGGGGTTGGACAGGGGAAGAGCAACATGCTCGCTATAGTCAACTCAGTATAACAGGAGCTGAAACTTTTCATGTTGCTTCAAATGAACCATTCGTCTTTGATGAGTTGATGCAGTGTCTGCATAATATAATAGCAAAGAAAAAGGTCCCTGAAAATGATGTTGTTGGTAGTAGAAGAAATGTGCATGAGGAGCCACGTCAGCCGGAACAACATGTTGATGTCATAGGTGATCCCGTGAAAGTTTCCACGAAGGGCGCCCCTAAGCAGAGCATGACAGGGCAGGCAAAGAAAGATCCAAATGTTACAAAAAATGGAAGACCAAAATCATTTTCTGAGAAAAAACCCTGTCCTCTTTGTGGCATTTGTAAGAAAGAGGGGCATAGACGGCAAACGTGCCCTGAGAATGAAAAGTAAGTTTTACATTATTTTAATTATTTTTTGTTTCTCTCTTTACAATTGTCTGATGAGTTGTTTACAATTTATTATGTAGGAACCGGGCATAAAGATTAAGTATTCATAATCAATTGAAGGCACTGGCAATTTTAGTTTATTTGTTTAAGGATAAGAGACATGGCACTTTGAGTTTATTCTTTAAGCCAACTTGTTCGATGGAAGGCACGGGCACTTTCAGTTTATTAGTTTTTTGCATAAGAGACATGGCATTATGAGTTAATCTTTATGCCACCTTGTTCGATGTTATGAGACATGCCTCCGATTTTTATTATTATGTGTGAAACATGAATTTGTCAACTGATTAACATTTGTAAAATTTAATGTAAATGTAAAAACTATTTGAAAAAAGGCCACGCCGTGGACGGGCGGGCGCACGGCGTCATATACTACAACGCCTTCCTGAGAGGCATTTCGGCCACCGAGCGGGGAGGCCACGGCGTACAACAGGGCGGGTGCACGTCGTCATATATTCCTGTAGTGAGCTTGTGAGAAGGCGACGACGCGGGTATATAAACCGGTCGGCACGTCTCTCCGCGGACGAGGTGGGACAAAACCTAGTCGGCACAACGCGCCAGCGTCCCCATCCGCACACGAAGAGGATCGGCCCACGCGCCCGACGCACGTCATTTATGACCCGACAGATCGCCATATTCCCCCTCGGGATCGTTGCCCGCTGGGTGGGGCGGGACGAGACGTGTGCCACCGGGCGCGCGGCTGTCGGTCGGTCGGCTGCTAGGCCAGCAGACCCACGCGTGGCGCCCGGCGAATCGCGTCAGCCCGCACTAGCTGGAGTGCGCGGGCCCGCCACTGTCTCGGCTGTCGGCGACCGCACGGGCTGGGCTGGAATATTAGTCGGATCCAGCGCCGCTGCTGCCACCAGAATCGACGTGGGAATTTGTGCAGGTTTTGTCCACATCACGCCAAGTAAGGACGGCGGGGATAGTTTTTATTAAATAAATGACCGCCGCGAGTTGAAACAACAAAAATACATATAGCATCGCAGCCGCAAAGTGATACATTTTAGGACATCAATAATATTACTTGCCCACACGCATTTAAATGTTTAGTCTCACACGAAAGCGATAAATAAAACGTGAAAAAATGTCGAAATCTGTCCGAGTGCCATGTCGCATTACAATCGATCAAAGTATCCAACTAAGGTAGGGAAACCTTCTACGGGACTAAAACCCTACCAATGCTAATACCTATTCCTTCTCCATGATTTTAACAATCTTCATCTTGACCTTCTCTAATTTGTTCACCTCTGAAAAAATGATTTCCGTGACAATACGTGTCCTTGACTCATTAATCTCTTCCTGGTCAAATTCATGTGTCTAGCGATTTCCGTCCCAGTATTTTATGCACCACATCACAAAAAGTCCACAAGACAC